TCATGATTCCTCAGTGGTCCCAGCTATTAGGTCCGTTAAAAGTATTGTGTGAATGTAGCAGGGTCTTCAGTACATGATGGAGAATACCCTTAGCTTTGTTATTTCTTCTTTTTTTCTTTTAGAGGTTTGCAAATTTTGACCAACAAGCAGAGTTAGGGAGACTGTGCTTTAAATGAACTTTTTAAAAATGTGTGTTATTACATTTTATAGATGCTCATTTAATGCACTATTGCTTTAGGAAAGCAATTTGAGCTCTCTTTTTTATCTGTGGCAACAAATGTGTGGATTATCAGAAATAGTGCTTGTTTTCATAAGAATATATTCCATGTGCCTTTTGATTCCTCTTTGATGGGACAGGCATCTTGTACCTGGACATGTATATCGAGTAGTGATTTATCAATTCTAGTCAACTGCCTTTGACTATGTGGGTAAAGCAATTTCCCACCATGTGAAAGGTTTCCATAATCTCCCTTCTGCTTCCCTTACTCGCTAGTCTGTACCCTTAGTGCATAGTTGGGAAACATTGTCATGGAGGGTTCTGGTACTTGTAGTTTGTGCAGTGTAAATGGTGAGAAAAATTAACCGTATCGAAAAGCGACCAAAGCAAGTCTACTCCCTTCCTTGGAAAATTACAGAAACGTTTGCTTTTCAGTACATTAGGTCCACGGCTACATTTGTTGTCTCTGTGTCTTTAGATTTAGCAAAAGGGAACCGAAATCCAGCAAGTCGTATTAGGAGTCCGTTCAGAAAATGAACGAAAAAGCAAATGAAAATGACCCAGAACGAGGTGGTGTATTTCTCGCTTTGCGTTTTGTAGGCATAAGTTCCTTCTTTATAGTTTGCGATTTTTTCTGAGAGGTGATGGATTTTCACTTCAGAGGCAAACAATATCATGACAAGACAGCCGCAGGAGCCTGCAATAGAAGGGACAAACAACGTGTTGGGACAAATATTTCCTGATTGTAGGGGACAGAGAAGGGGGTCAGTGTGTAAGCTAAAGAAAGATCGTGTCAAACATGTGATTATGAGCCCAAGTCTCCCACCAGTGGAAGGTGGTGCTTGGGTTGTGGCTCTCACTAAGGAAGATTTGGGGCGGGGGAGGGTAAAATGAAGCTCACTGGCTAATTTCTTCCGAAATAGATAAAGACCACAGCCTCCAGTGTGGATTACACCTCAACATAAAACAAAACTCCTCACAAGTGGACCAATAAGCAACATCACAATAAAAGGAGAAAAGATTGAAGTTGTCAAGGATTTCATGTTACTTGGATCCACAGTCAACACCCATGGAAACAGCAGTCAAGAAATCAAACAATGCATTGCATTGGGCAAATCTGCTGCAAAAGACCTCTTGAAAGTGTTGACAAGCAAAGATGTCACTTTGAGGACTAAGCTGCGTCTGACCCAAGCCATGGTGTTGTCAATTGTCTCATGCATGTGAAAGTTGGATGATGAATATGGAAGACAGAGGAAGAATTGACGCCTTTGAATTGTGGTGTTGGTGAAGAATATTGAACACACCATGGACCATCAAAAGAATTATAAAATCTGTCTTGGAAGAAGTACCTCACATACTTTGGACATGTTATCAGGAGGGAACAATCCCTGGAGAAGGACATCATGCTTGGTAAAGTAGAGGGTCAGTGAAAAACAGGAAGACCCTCAACAAGATGGATTGACACAGTGGCTGCAACAATGGGCTCAAGCATAACAATGATCAAGAGAATGGTGCAAGACCGGGCAGTGTTTCGTTCTGTTGTACATAGGGTTGCTATGAGTTAGAACCGACTTGACGGCACCTAAAAACAACAAAATCTAGCTTATCCTTATACACACTGGATGAGGTTTCTCTTTGCATGATATGAAGTCAGAATTGCTGGGCATTGTAAACGCACAGTGGTGGAATGAGGCTAAGAGCGGCCGCTGCTGTGATGTGGCTTCAAGGGAGCAAATTTCTCTTTGCCTCATAGGCCATGCAGGATAAACGCCAGTCATACAGCAGCCTTGTGAAAAGCCTCAGAGCTTCCTGCAGAAGGTTACTGTAACTCCTCTGCCCCCACTAGCTGGCCACAGCTGCCAGAGGAGTACTGAGCAAAGGTAGCTATGAATAAGGTGTTGGGGCAGACAATAGGTGTTCCCCTTGTTTGTAATAGAACTCAGAATGTCGAGCTGATACATGGCCATCTTGAATAAGGCTATATTGTTTAGCTGAGGGTGGCTAGGCATAAGGGCAGTAAAATTTTCTTGAATGATATATGTTCGGGGCCTGCCCTTTCTTCCCCCCTTCCTCCTTCCTGTGGCTGAAATAGAAATGCAGTGGCTGGAGTTCCAGCAGGTGACCAGGTGACCTCAGAAATGGAAGCCATGTATGGTGGGAAAACAAGAAAAAAGGAGCCTGATCCCAGACTAGCCTTGGACTTTAATTCCTTGACTTTTCTGTAAGACAAAAATAAACGTCTATTTTGTTTAACCTCTGTTATTATTTTTTGTTCCCATTTATCACTCTTGTAAACTAAACCAAACCCATTACTGCTAGAGTCAGTTCCAGCTCATAGTGACCCTACAGGGCACAGTAGAACTGCTTCACAGGGTTTCCACAGAGCAGCTGGTAGATTTGAACTGCCTACCTTTTGGTTAGCAGCTGAGCTCTTAACCACCGCAACACCAGGGCTCCTTGCTTGTAGCTGAGTCTAATCCTAACTGATGCAGCTTTAGTCTGGAATGAGACCTCTGCAGGACGGGGCACTCCATACTGGGTGGGACCTGGCAACTCAGACATGTCTTCTTCCCTGAGGAGAGTGAATGGGAGATCCCTGGCCTAGGTGGATGGCACAGGAGGCGTAGACAGGTAGCCAGAGGAACCGAGTCAGGAGCACTGTGGATGGCCAGGACTCCATGGTGTTTCCACAGCTACTGCTGTCTCCCAGGCCAGCACGGGTTCCATTTAACAGGAGGCACGTTGAGACGGTCTTCAGCTATAATTAACGGTGAGTTTTCAGACCAAGCAATTTGGGTTCAGACGCTGATTCCTCCACTTACTATATGAAATTAGGCAAATCTAATCTCTAAGCCTCAGTTTTCTCATCTATAGTGAATAATGGAGATAATGCAGTACTAGCGCTTAGCATTGGAATTGACACATATAAATGCTTAGCAATGGGTGGCTATTCTTATGGGTTTTATGTTTTCTTTTCTTCTTGCAAGTCCTTACCATATTTCTTACCCTGCCTCACCTCACACCAAAAAAAAAAAACAAAACAAAACCAAAACTGACTACATCAAGGTAGGCAACCAACCCAAATGAATGCGTTACAGAGCCTGTGCCTGCGAACACTCTCCCGCTAGGTTTATGACTCCTTTAGTACGGGCAACTGCCTTTTATTCTTCAACTGACTTTAATTCAAGAACCCTGGGAGCAGCAACGTAGTGGTTTAGGTTTCCATTCATTCGTTCATTCATTTATTCACTTAGACTTATTGCATGCTGAGCATGGGGTTCATGATGGAGATTTAAACAATAGAGAAGCTACACATGGTTTCTGCTCTCACAGAGTATAATCTGGTGGGCAACACAGATAAAACAGTTATAAACCAGTTATTGTCCAGCCAATGTAAAGGTAGGGGGAGTACAGTGTGCTATTACTGAGAGGGTGGACAACGTCATGGAAGGTTCCTCAGAGGAGGTTGGAAGGAGCTGCAGGAAAAGTGAGCCAAGCCAAGGGAGGCTGGACTGTGCAGGAAGGGTGTTCCAGGCGCTGGGAGCCACAGTGCAGACGACTCCCCCATTCCCTCTGCAAAGGTCAGGTTTGGGTTGGGGTAGAGATAGAGACCAGATCACATAGCATGGGAGGTAAGGGTGATTGACAAAGGTGAATCATGTTCTGCACAGAGCTGGCCCCCTCAGCTTGATCATCGTCATAATACATCCCCAAATAATCAAATGATATACTTTTCTTGAAACTTCACTTCCCGTCAGCCTCAGAGTGGTAGCTGAGAACGTTTCTTTGTAAAATCTGTCAGTCTGTTTTTGCATTCTGAGCTTAAAACCAGAGCTCTCCCCTGGCAAAAATGTATTATTCCTTTATTGTCAGATCCTTACAAAATAGGCGGCAATGCTGTTTTCTCTTTATCTTTGATTTGAAAATTGTAGAGAAAATGCCATTGCGTTTACCATAAGGTCCTTCTTTGTCTGCGGAGATGGTGAATTTCAGACAGAAGTGAAACACTGGTATTTCTTTAGCTCTTGAAAGGAAAATTCAAGCTCAGTTTCCTTTTCAAATTGTTAAATATTTTAAAGGTACTACTCTGCTGTGGCGCAGCGGTTAAGAGCTGTGGCTGTTAACCAAAAGGTTGGCAGTTCGAATTCACCAGGCACTCCTTGGAAACTCTATGGGGCAGTACTACTCTGTCCTATAGGGTCCCTATGAGTCAGAATTGGCAACGGGTATACCCTATTAAGGAGATAGTAGGGCAGTGAACCTGCATTTCAAATTCCTAAAGTCGAAGTTGCTGGGGTATCTAAACACTTAAAGCCCTTTGCCCTACCTGATACTTCAAGCAGGCAAGCTCCGGAAACGGAGCGATCTATGCATAGCTGAGAGGATGGTCTGAGGTTCCGCCTGGATTCTGGGGTTGACCATGAGGTCAGCTTTGTCACTTCAGAGTCAGAGCACAGAAACCCAGGCTGGGTCTGAGACACTGGCCACTCAGAGACACAGTGGGAAAACAACTCTGCGTGAATTTGGGGTGTTTTAAATTGTACTTTAGATGAAGTTTTACAGAACAGTTTCTCATTAAACAATTAGTACACATATTGTTTTATGACAATGGTTAACAACCCCACGACATGTCAACACTGCCCTCTCTCAACCTTGGGTTCCCTATTACCAGCTTTCCTGTC